GGGATGATAAAGAAGAGAAGGGTGCTGCAAAAAAATGAACTTATGGGGCCTCTTAATAGTATCCTAGTGTGTATATATATACTTGCTCCGTTCTTTTTTATTCTTTCGATTTTACTTTTTACGGTTATAAATATTATTACTTTCTTCATTAATTTCATTTTACTTGTCTGAATTTATTTTATGTGGTAGTAAATAAAAGAAAGAAATTATAAGGACTATGCTAACTAAAGTATAAACGTAACAATTTTTTAAAGGACGGAGGGAGTATAATATTACATGATATACAAAAGATGGGTTTCCAATGAAAGAAGAATTTGCTTTGAAAATTTATTGACCTACTTGAAGTTGAAATCTTTTTGTCATAGCAATAACAAATATGCTTACATAAGCTGTTATTATTTTATATTTTTGTTTGGATTTTGTAGCTTTGTTTTGTAGAGAGGCAGGCAATTTTATACTTTATTTTTTGGTCATCTTTGGACGTAGTATATGTAGATATGATAAACAAGATTTTCTTAAACAAGGTTGGTTGATATACATGTTCATAATCTTCATATAAAATAAAATAAAACACAAAACCTACTTTCTTGCATTGTATGTTACTTTTATTTGCTGCTTTCCTTCTAGTTGCTCTTCTTTCTTTGCTTTATTGCTTTAGTTTCATCATATTTTGTTTACTCTTCTCCTTTTCTTGATTTCTCCTTTCTCTTCTTATGCTTTAATCTTATAAGTGCCATGTCGATCTTTGAATTTAGACTATATTTAATAGAGTTTTGTTTAAATCAACTTAAAATATTTTGGATGAAAGAGTGCACAAAAGTTAAAATTATATCACAATGAATATAAAATTGAGTTAAGCTTGGATGAATCATGAGGTATGTAACTTAAATCATATACATGAACAAAATACAACAAAAGAGCTATGAATAAAAATTTATAAATTTCGCAATATATGTGTATGAGGTTTCAACGTATTATTGGCTTTATACAAAGTACAGAGTATTAGTTATTGAAATAAAATTAATTTAAGAAATATTATCATGAATTCGACAACTATATAAGTATATATACAAGTCAAACCAGTATTTTGGCCTAAATTCAAACTAACTCATAATCATTTACATTTTTGTCACGCTTGTTGGACCAAGTATAAATTCAGTGGCAAGAGATTTATGTGTTAAAGTGGATGTGCATATGCATATAAAAGGTAATGAAACCCTAAAATTATTTTGGATTTATGTTCATAAGAATGAAAAATAAAAATAGGCAATATATTACTACTTCAAAATTGCATATAAAAGCTGTTTGGACATTGTAATCATGATTCCTTCTACAACTTTTCAAATTTCGTTATCAATTTTTGTATTTTCTTTAGCCTAGGTTTATGTTATAATTTGGGTTGACTTCCCTTATATCATACATAGGACCATACATGTTCAAATATACATAGAAGAAAAGACTCATTAAGCTACAATCAAGCTTACATATAACTTGTACATAGGTGACTAATATTGTGAGACGGTTTTATAAATTATAATATAAGACGAATTTACTTTCTTCAATAATAGAGATCTCTCATAATTGCACAATTGATTAATTAATAATAAGAGTCAATCTTATTACTCGTGACTCGTCTCATACAATAATTACTCTTTTATTCGCGATGCTAATGATGCTATACTTAAACGAATATGTAAATCGATGGGGGCAACTCCAGGAACTTCCTGTATTATGAAATTAAAAAGTCCACGAAAAGAAAAAGCAAGGAAAATAAAGCCGTTTGGATAACAGAAATTTAAAGTTGATCACCCAAAAAAATTAAATGAAATAAAAAAGAAAAACAGAAATATAAAGGTAATAAAGATTTTAAGTGAAAAAAGAAAATAAAGAGATAGAGAGAGGAGAGAAGTAAAGTTGGATTCTCTTCTTCTTTGTAAAATAAAAATTCAATGTGACAAAAATACCCTTTAGCTTTAATCAAAGGCCATGTTTGCTTTTTCTCTTTTTATGCTACTTGTACACTAAACTTATATGCTTTAAGATCGGAGAGATGATGAAGTTACACTTTATATGATAATACATGAAGAAATAAGGAAAAAAATAATTATATAAAGATGCCGCATGATTTTGATCATATGAGGATCCACATAATAATTGTATAATATATAGTGAATAAATATTATAAAAGTGGTGAAATGTGGTAGACAATAATCATGATGAATAAATGGTGTCACTAAGTAGAATAGTAGTTTCCATGATCATTAGCATTGGATCTTGTGAATTTTTGTTGATGTTTATAGGCATTAAGGTTGTGTAATCAATTACTATGAAAAGTTTCATCTTACATAATTAATTCAATACATGTAATGTGTATTTGTACTCATCGTCTATTTATAATGTATTTCTCTTCTTATGATACCAAATATATATAATTGTCAATTTGATGATGCATGAAACACTACATGTGTGTACTCTTTAATGAAGTTGTACGTAAAATAGTAAAATAATCTATGTATATGAAAATTAAAATGATGGAGCTCTTCTAGCTAGTTAACATGCATATATTATATGCATGCACTTTATTGAAGATCACTTGCAATGGCAACAATCCTCAATTACACAAGAATTTTCCATGGATCAAGTCTCATTTCACCTAGCTCCATACTGAGTTAAATGTAATAGTGACGACTTGACAAGAGGAGTGAATCGATGTCTTAATAATGTGAATACTAATAAAAATGTTGAAATTTTGTAATATAACTATTGAAATTTTAGTCAAGCTAAAAAGTGGTCGGTCTCATTATCAGAAAGTATAGTTTCCGTAGAAAGTTGTGAACTACTCATTCATAACTGCCCGTCAATCTATACAGACACTGTACATATGACACGAGCACCTTAACATATATTGAATGTACATAGATCGAGGTACTCCCAAGTCCATAAAAAAAAGAACTTTAGTATCAAAAACCTAACAAAAATGAGCAGTCAACCATTATTTGAAATAGTTAAGGTGTAATTATATCGTAGTTAAGGTGTAATTATATCGATCCCTATTTCCGATCCTAAGTCCCTACATGACATGGAAAGGGTAAATACAGTTAAATAAAATGGTGAACAAGAGAGCAACTAGTAGAAGCTGAAAATCAAAAAAATAACACAGGTAGTTTTAGTGTTAATTGGGGGCCAGAAATTGATTTCAAGATTTGAAGACCCAAAATCTTTACTCCACTATAAATTATTGAAGACAATCAATAAGCAAGAAGAAGACTCTAATTAAGCCTTTTTTAAACCATAAATAAAACAACAAATTATCATTGTTAATAAATCTTTGCATCCCCCAACTTTTGATCAATTATGATCATGTAAACTTTTCTAGAGTTGGTACAAGTGTAATGTAGTAGTCAACCATATTCTCAAGATATATATTGAAAGTTACTTGAGATTGCTTCACAATCAACCCACTACTTTATTTATACATAGCCTTTATTTTTGGACAATTTTTAGCGAGAATTCAGGCTCCGAAAGGAAAGAGGTTGGATGATTCTTGTAGAGTCCATGATGAATTCTCGGGAGGTCATTTGGATGTTTGAAACCATCTCTTTAAACTCTTGACTACCAAATACCAATCAATGCAATGGAATTATGAATAAACAACATATAATTGAATTGACCTCGTTCTCGAGACTTTGCTGCCCTATTTATATACTTGTTATTATTTCCAAACCAACTTTTATGACACTGTGAGATCTTATATACGTGCTTACTTTATTTTTAGAAATATTTCCCGAAATTGGTCCAAAATCGTTGGTTATACCTTCAATTCTAGACAATTTTCGACTCTTTTGAATTTGGAAAGGCTTACAATTTTCGACTCTTTTGAATTTGGAAAGGCTAGGATACTTCGAGGGACTAGACGAGATTTGAGGAGGCAATCCGGATAGTTGAAATCATCTGTTGTAGCTTTTGACTAATAATGCAAAACAAAATTACGAAATAGTATCATAATTGAATCGAACTCATTCTTGAGACTCTTTAGACTTATTGGTAGGCATGTTATGATTCAAATCCAACTTTTATAACTTTAGATGACACGTCATACACTCCTCCATTTTATGGGATAAGTGTTTTATTTATCTACTCAAAATGGGGCAAAGAAAATGAAATTGAATGGCCATTACTTAAAGTCTTAAATAGATCATTTTGAAACCTTTATCATTGATTTTTTAGTATCACTTGAAAATAAAATGTATGCACCTACTATACATTTCATACAATCATACATGATATAAGTTCCATGCAATAAAAGACCAAAGTACCATAGCTAAGTGGGCAAGTGGATAAATTTCAATTTATCAACTTTATTACCTTTTGCCCTAGCTAGTTCATCTTAAGTTGGAAACATGTGCCTGCAATGACAGTGAATTGTAAGAAGGTAAAAGATGATGATTATTAATATATCATTACATTTGTCTTCTAAAAATGATCAAAATATAATTTTGCAGCCTAAAATAAGGGTACATTGATCCATTCTTAGAACAAAAACTTTAGCTTTTGTTCAATTGTTTTTTCCTTTAAGACCTTCTTTGCCCTTTTAAAATGGGACCAAAGTCTTCAAAAAATGTGAAAATTAATTAATTTACTAGTTAATTATGGTATTTATATGTTTATAATATATGAAATGAGCTTCTTTAGAAGATGGAATAGTCTTAAAGAGAGGGCTGAAAAAGCAAAAGCAACAAAATTTGCATTGTTTTTGTTCAATGCTTTCGATCTTCCACTTCAAAAAGAGAATTCAAAGAAAATAAAAGGAAACTATGTGCCTTCTTTTTACATGGAAAAGAGTGATTGTCTTTCATGTTAACTCTCTTCAAAGGGAAAATGAAGTTTTACAAAGAAGAATCCATTATTCATGCATTGAGAATTGTGCCATTGTGTTGAGTACAACTTCGCCCATTTTCAATTGGTAAAAAGCACACCCGATTATATGTAGATTTGCATGTAACGGGTAAAACCACAACTTATTATGAAGCATCGCGCTTTATTAATAAATGTGATTTATTATGTGATTTAATAGTTGTTTATTTTACAATTTTATGTGCTTTTACTTTTATAATGATGTTTATGCTCTTTATGTTACTATTCGTTTTTGACTACTTGCTAAACATTTATAATTAATTTTGACATAAAAAAATAAAGTACTCCATGAAAAAAAAAAAAAAAAAGAAAAAAAGTGTAACGATATAGAATTTTCATAATAGTTTGTGCTGTTATAATTTTGTTATGTAATTTTATTCGGTAGAGGGGTAGACTCATTTTTGCTCGTTTTACCCTATGTGCATAAAAAATAAAAAAATAAAAAATAAAAAAGGCTCGCAGACTTCGCATCATGCTGGACAACACAATCTTTAAATAGTATCCTGAAATGTTGAAATTTTTAAATACTATAGTAAACTGTAAACCACAATACAGCATGTTTAACATATAACACCATGACCAGAATAAGTGATGACATTAATTTCTTCAAATTCAGTTTTTTTTTTTTTTTTTTTTTTTTTGTAACATTTACAATAAGATATTATATGTTTAACAGGTTTCTGTGCTATGGTTAGTAGATTCCTACAAGACACTATTCAGCTAATCATCAATTTGATTGCCTACTTGAAAGAAGTCCAAGGAGTTGCAGGAGATAATGGAAGAGGGAGCTCTATGGGCACGTGAGGCAGACACATACAATGAGTTTCTTGTACGTCCTTTTCATCACACCAGGACATATTTCGCATCTTGTTGCAACTGGATGCTGCTCTCATTCCTCTTTCTTTCTGACACTTCGAGCAAGCAGCTGATCAAAGTGCGATGATGTTCACGAATTTCCTCTTAGCAAACGCCAACCACCATTTGTTTGGTGTTCCATTAGGACGATAAGCAACACCCAGTAGTCTCCCACTTGTCTCTTCTCTTATCTGCTTCAGGTAATTTCTGAATAACACTGTTGAGGGGAAAAAAAAAAGGTTGAGTTGCTCTGTTGCTCATTGTCATGAAATGGAGGGCAACGGGACATCAGCTCAACACGATATTTCAAGGATGATATCTGAGGAGTAGAGCAGCAGTAATACACTATGTAACCCAGACTCATATTATCACGGCCTCAAACACCCCATGTCATTGTCAGATCCTCGACACTCTAATATGGGTGAGGATACATGACAAGTCGGGGTGAGGATACATGACAAGTCATTTCTGACCAAAATAAAAGGAATTAATTTTAGCACGAACGTAGGATATTAACATTTTTTTATACCATATACCATACCAATACGCAATTCCGGGTAAGTCAACTGATACATTACAAGTTGACATTGTTTTATTGACAATCTCCAGAGCTATTAGAACATAAAATGCCTATGTCATGACATCTGATAACAAAATGATGAAGCAAACCAGAGGTAAAGCTATATAAAATTTCATGTACAATTAATCAAGTCATTCTCAGGATGAAGATAACATGAGCACTGAATTCTGAAATTGGACCTCAACAAATGCCTTTTGGATTATTGAAGCTGACAAAAAGGGCTCTGAATCCTAAAATTCTACACAAGTGCATTTTGGGCTGTCAAAAATGAAGTTTATATGGCACTAAACCTGGAACTTATCCTTCAAACATGCATTTTCAAAGGGCAAATTATATTATCCTAAATCCAATTTGTAAAAACATGCTGCAATCGTGCAGGAAACAAATGGTTCACATAAGCAGATTACACAACGAAAGATGCAAGTTAACATGTATTGTATAATAACCATAGAAGGGTAAAGAAAATTTACGTGCTTCCTGCTGCGATTTAGGAGGTGTAAATAAACCAGGGAAAGGAAACCCAGACTCTCCAGGGACTGGAACATCCTCAAGACCCAAGTTTATGATTGCCTTGGTACCTTCAGCCAATGTTCTACATCCCTCGAGCCTCTTCAATGCAACGTTGATATAGTAAGTTAAGTAGATAAGCAGCTTATCAGCAGAGCTCTTTATGTCAAAATTCCTAAAGAAGACATTAGCGCGGAAAAAGGTAATTGCTTCATCAACAATATCAGTGCTTTCTGCACAATTTTGCACAACACACTGATCAATAACAGGAGAAAATAGTTTGTAGAATTCATTTACGGAGTGCATTAAATGGGTTCAAATGAATGTTGATTAGCCTAACCTTGATCAGAAATTGGTGCAGGACCCTTGATATGGCTTTTTAAAGCAAGTAGCGGACAACCACAAGCTTTTGTTACGCCTTCCTCATCAACAAAACTAGAGTGGTAAACCTATGATCATAGCCACAACTTATTAGTTCTGCTAGCATCAAAAGCTTGGAAACAAATCAATTCGAAGTCCAAACTACAATGAATTTGCCTATTAATCCCTTGATTGTATTCTAAAGATTAGAAAAACCCAACTCCAAAACTACATTCCACAAACTCAACTACATAATGTACATGTCTAGGTGATCGAATCACGAATTTTCCAAAGATTTTGCAGTTCACCAACACGAAAGTTTTAAAGCGTGTCGAGAATCCAACACGAATACTTAAGGTGAAACAGACAAAGCACATAACATTGCATTATAATTTTAAGATTTCGACATAAAAATCATATCAAATGCGTGAATTTCATCATCAGAACAGAAAATTTCAGTTGGAAAATTCTTGTATTATGTAGCTAAAGAAAGCACATTTACATAAAACTCCCAGATCAAAAGCAATCCCAGAAGTCAAAATTGTATAAATGCTTCAATTTCATTCAAATAACATCATAAATTGTATAAACAAGAAAATTCCCATCTTTAACTAAATCCAATGTCATACAAATTTAATTAAAGAAAAGGGTGTCATTTTTTTCTCACCATAACGAGCTTCAGACCTCAATGTTGCAGAAATTTAGCCTTGCAAAGATCTGGGCACAACAGATTTTAATCACAAATTTGATTCTACAAACATCAAATTAAAGACATTTCAGATAATGGGAAACATGAAATGTTAACATTTTTATAAAATTAACAAGAAATTTAAGGAAAGATGAGAACAATTTACCCAAATTAGAACTTGGAATTATATTGGGGTTTTTGAGTTCTTCCTTTTTTCCCACTGATGAGAGCTGATTTCATCGATTTCAGCAATTGTTAGGTGGTTAGTTTTGTTTTAGTGCTAGTTATACGACGTCGTTTAGGAGGACCACAATTTCCACAACCAACCATATTATTTTCATTTTATAACTATGGTTAGGTGATTCGTTTAATTAATATGCTTGAAAATGAAATAGTAATACATATGAAGATTTGAACACGTACAAATCGAACATATAAAGGCTTGAACATGTTTATTTGTTCAAAACGAAACTATTACATTCAATATTAAATACAGTGGCGGAGCTATGAAGGGGCCTGGGTGACACCGGCCCCGCCATTATTTTATTTTTTAAAATTTTATTAAGTAAAAGATGTAAATTTATAGGTTAGTTACAATTTTAATGCAACAAATAACATTAAATTAGCTTTGTCATAGTGGTAGTGCATTGAATGGAATTTAACTTAAAAGTCTTGGGGTTCAAGTCTTTATACAAATATTTTATTTTTATTTTTTATTTAGTGCCCCTCCACCTTAAATATTCTACATCCGCCACTAATATTAATACTTCGTAATAAGGTCACTAAGTTCATTAGAAGTGTTAACTTTTTAAACTAATACCAATGTCACATACATAAGCTTTGCCTCAATATAAGATGACATGAATATATGAGTTGGTTGATGAGCTCGATTACTATAAAATTCATTCGAAAAAGAGAAAAAGAAACTTGACCAAACGAGCCAAGCCCTAGCTCAAACATATGAAGTACTAATTATTATATAAACAAAATTTAAAGCTCAAACTGAAGTTTGAAATAATGGTGAAGAGAAAGAGATAACTGCCTAGTAAAAACTATTATATGGATGAGACAATTCTAAAAGAATAACTAGATGAGAGAAATTCAAGGGAAGATGAAATACAATCAATATGCCTAAATCAAAGTAGAAAGATGTCAAATTTCACCTATACTTCTAAACTTCACATAGGAAGTAACTCAGGAATCAAGTCAGTACTGCTGCTACTACTGCTACTGCTGTTACTATTGAGCACAACGACATGTCCACTCGAATCAATATCCAGAATAACTGAATCACCTTCTTGGATTTCACTTGCAAGCATCTTCTCAGCCATGCTATCCTCCAAGAGACTCATGATAGCTCTTCTCAGCGGCCTTGCTCCATAACTTGGATTATAGCCATCCTCCACCACTCTATCTTTGAATCTCTCGGTCACTTGAATATTGATGCCTTTAACTTGAAGCCGTTTGGAAACTTCTTTCAGCATGATTTCTGAAATCTCCTTGACTTCCAACTTTGTAAGCTGCCTGAACACAATCATATCGTCTAACCTATTCAAGAACTCCGGCTTAAAGTACTGCTTAAGCTCCTCGACCACTAAAGTCTTTATCCTGTTATAACTGCTATCGTGTTCGTCGTATGTCAGATCAAATCCCATACTGCGGCCACCTTTCTCAATTACACTGCTTCCAACATTTGAGGTCATAATCATGAGAGTGTTCTTAAAGTTCACCGTCTTCCCTTTACTATCAGTTAATCGCCCATCCTCTAAGATTTGCAACATCATGTTAAACACATCAGGATGAGCCTTTTCAATTTCATCAAAGAGCACTAATGTATAAGGGCGACGCCTCACAGCCTCAGTAAGCTGCCCACCCTCGGAGTAACCCACATAACCTGGGGGTGAACCGATCAACTTAGAAACTGTGTGTCTCTCCATGAACTCACTCATATCAAGGCGGACCATGGCTTCTTCAGAACCGAAGTAGTAAGCAGCTAAAGCTTTTGCAAGTTCTGACTTTCCTACACCAGTTGGACCGGAAAAGATGAAGCTGGCAATTGGACGATCAGGATCCTTTAGGCCAACGCGAGAGCGACGAATTGCACGGCTGATGGCTTTGACAGCTTCGTCTTGACCTATTACACGACCATGGAGATTGTCTTCCATTTTGAGAAGACGGCTTGATTCGTCCGCTGAAACTTTCTGAACTGGTATACCTGTCCAAGAGAAAACAATATCCCTAATCTCTGCGTCTGTCACAACTGCTCCAACGTAGTCCATATTTGCCTCTTTCTGCTCCTTGTCTTGGCTTATGAGTGCAGATATTTGTACCTTCAGTTCTAGTTCTTGGTCACGTAATTCACCAGCCTGCATATGGCAGTTTGTAAAACTGTTTAGCAAGAACACCACATATCACTGGCAAAGCATGAAAAGTCAGGCATTTTGCAGCACTATGTACTGAGAGAGTGGAAGTGGCTACAACTCAAAGCCTCAAAGAAATAGACCTACCCACAGAAGAAGGAAGCTTGATACAGTTCATAGTCAACCATAGCAGACAGACAAATAAATCTGAAAACTCACCTGACCCGAACCAAACCCAACATAAACTGACTTGAATTTTTAATAGGCCACTAAATGTCAGATCGAGAATGAAATTCACCTAAAAATTGAGATCGACAAACCCGACCTAAAAATAGCAGAATTTTGTTCTTAACCAATTAACCAGAACGCTATCTTCTAAAGAAGTGACTATGTTTAGAATAGAAGGATTAGTAGGTAATTAGGAGAGTAATTCAGATAGTAGATGCATTTATAGCTTTATAAGCCTCCTTGGTCATTCCGAAATTCCAACTTTCCAAGAAATAATATACTGAGGTTTCTGTATCCATCTTTTTAGATCCATAAAATATGCAAATTCTTGTATATCAGGGTCAAGGACACCATTAAAATGGTTTAAAGACAAGGTCATATAAGCAGTGGAACTTGTACATGAGTTCATGAAAACAAAATTATGAAAGGACAGTAGCAAATTATTGAATTCAAAATTTCAAATCATAAGTTCATAACTTTCTGGCGACCAGTATAAAAGAGCACACAGATTTACTAAACTTAGTGATCATGAAAGTGTGACACAGGTGCTACAATTTACAAGAATGAGTAAAAAGGAGTATATCTCTGTAAACAAAACTTTTTACCTTCTCAAAATCTTGGTTGCGGACAGCAGTATCTTTCTCATTTACAATCTGAGTGACCTGCTTCTCAAGTTCTCTTACTCCTTCAGGAAACTGGAAGATGGGAGACAAAATTAAGGCCCCAACATACAAGTTTCAAGCCCAAAACTTTGGAAGCATAATATCATACCTCAGCATGGCGCAACCGCACACGAGCACCAGCTTCATCAATAAGATCGATAGCTTTATCAGGAAGAAACCTATCACTGTGGAATATACAGAGACATTAGAACAAGTTACAAATGACTACTGTATTAGAAAGGAAAAGAGCAGAAATATAAGAAGAAATGTATCTTATAAAAGTTTTTTGTCAAACATGAAACTTTATTTGTCTTCCTTTTCCCCCTGAGAGTTGGGAGGGCTATGAAAGAAAGAAGTAACAAAGTTCCATACACTGTGGACTGTAGGAAAGGAAAACCAAAATCAGCATGGTTTCACTGATCTTTATGAGTGAGCCTAAGTAAAAAGTGGATCATATTTCTCAAGACGAGTCTTAAAGTATATAGGTTGTTTCATACCAACTAGCTACTATGGGTAAACAAAGAAGATTCCAGAGATGGGGCAGATTGCCAACCTATGAAAGAAAGAAATGTTTAATCTGAAGCAAAATGGAAAGAAAGTGAATTATTATTACACAGCTATGAGTAGTTTATGATTAGTACTATTAGGATGACAATATGACATCATAAGCAACCTACCCTTCCACCCCATAGATAAAAAGCATATGTAACCTGATTACTTGACAAAGTGGTACAGTAACTACGCATCAACTGGCTTACACTTGTTTTCAGAACATTGATCGGCTACAAGACAATCTGTAAGAGATGGATGATAGGCAATCTGTAAGGAGCTGAGCAAAAATAAGGAACGAATACATGCCTGATGTACCGGGATGACAGTTCTGCTGCTGCAATTAATGCTTCGTCTGTATAGGAGAGCTTGTGGTGAATCTCATATCGCTCACGGAGCCCTCTGAGAATCTGTATTGCTTCATCTACTGTGGGCTCAGGCACTTCAACAGGCTGAAATCTTCTCTCTAATGCTGGGTCCTTCTCAATGTGTTGCCTGTATTCATCAAGCGTTGTGGCCCCAATGCACTGTAATTCACCCCTTGCAAGAGCTGGTTTTAACATGTTAGCAGCATCTATTGCTCCTTCCGCTGCCCCAGCCCCAACCAAAGTATGCACTTCATCGATAAAAAGAATTAGGTTATCTGATTCTTTGACTTCTTCCATTATCTTTTGCAATCTGCCCTCAAACTCTCCACGATATTTAGTTCCAGAAACAAGACGACTCAAATCAAGAGTAATAACCTGAAAGCAAAAAAATGAGTTATAACCTGAAAGCAAAAGATGAATTATAACCTGAAAGCAAAAGATGAGTCTTAAACGTCTATAACTGGGATGATCACTTGTAGATTCAATTCAAAGAGTGGACCCTGTAAGAAACAATTTTCATTTTCATAGTAGTATACTAGTATGTTGCAAAGCAATATCAGCCCATGCTATGATAGAATTGGATAAATTCATGAACAGGTTGTTGAGTTGAATAATACAAGAAAATAAATTATTGCACACTGAATAGCTCCTTAATCCATGTGATTTTGCTGCAATATAAAGTGGCTTGCTCACCATAATTCTATGAGCATATTAAACAAACAAGCATGGAGTATTCACTACATATCTCCTGGAATCCTAGTTCTTTTTTCATAGGCATCCCCTCTAAAAGGGTAGACAGGAGCAGGTATGCCCCCATCTTCTCTATTAGCTAATACGGTTGAAAAGCAAGAATAAATATAATTGCACTATCTTTTCAATGTATAAGCTATCCACAAACACTATTAATGCGTACAACTATTAAGAGTGACTTACTATGGTAAAAGATTTGGTAGATATAAATATACATGGAAAAATTAAAATTGGAACATCACTTTAAATGTGCTCCACAATATGCATTACATACCTGCTTTCCCTCGAGTGTTTCTGGGACATCACCAAGAGAAATTTTCAGAGCCAGACCTTCTGCGATAGCTGTTTTACCAACACCTGGTTCTCCAACGAGGCACGGGTTATTTTTTGTACGACGACTCAATATTTGGATGACACGATCTATTTGTTTTTGCCTTCCAACTACAGGATCTAATTTTCCCTTTACAAATAGAAGAGATTCAGTTAGAAAAACAATGTACATACTACATAAAGACATAGTAGTATATTAATTCAGTTTCTGATAGTCATCAATAAGAGTTCCAGCACATATTTCCAGCCACCAAAGAATAAAAGAGAAAGGTCTACAAGGGTTGTGCATACCTCTTCCGCCACCTTTGTTAAATTTGTGCCATATTCTTCTAATGTGAGCATACCAGCACCTGATTTTCCACCTGCCTGGACAGGCTCCTTTTCCTCACCCATCATGCTTATAATCTATTTACAACATGGAAAATGTCATTCGCATGAACAGATAGCTCATGAAAACTCTACACACACAAATTAATCATCATAGATATAAAAAAATTACAATTACTAACCTGTTTGCGGATTTCTTTTGCATCAACACTTAGATTATCAAGGACACGGGCAGCTATACCCTCACCTTCACTAAGCAATCCCAACAGCAAGTGTTCCGCACCAATATAATGTTGACCTTCAGCATACAAAAAAAAAAAGGCACACAAATGAATCTCGGCCTTAGAGGCACACTAATGAACCTCCCCAAGCTTAGAGGCAGAACTTTAACTTCGGATGTATACCAAATACTTGAGAGACTGCTATACAATTAGTGCATGCAAAATGCAATATCAGATAACATCCCATTTTCTCCTAGGAACTATAGCTTCAATACACAACTATCAATAGCAAAGTCTTACCAAATTTTCGTGCCTCTTCCAATGATAACTCCAAGACATGCTTAGCACGAGGACTAAACGGAATTTCAATGGGAACAAATGCACCACCTCTTCCAACGAGCTTCTCAACTTCCAAACGCGCAATTTTCAAGGTAATACCCGCGGATTTCAGAACCTTAGCAGCAATGCTGGACCCTTCACCAACAAGCCCCAACAAGATTTGCTCAGTGCCAACAACATTATGACTTAATCGCCTCGTTTCCTCTTGAGCAACCAGTACAACTTTAATCGCCTTGTCAGTAAATCGATCAAACACCGCAGTAATAACACCCCTCCTTGGTTTCTCTCTACGAACCAACACAGCATCTTTCATCTTAGACTCAAACCCTACTGTCCTAGAGCTTCCCATAAACCCAAAGTCTAAAGTCCTAGAGCTTCCCAAAAACGGGGTACTCACTCGTAGCTTGGGTAAAGCTTGAGTTCTTAATCTAGGGTATTGAATAGATGCTGTCATTCTAACAGATGAATTCATCATCCTGTTACTCAGAAATTTCTCATTTCTTCTTTGATGGTTTAATGAAACAGGTATCTTAAGCAAGTGAGGTGCAGAAATAGTAGCCATTCTTTTAATCTGAATTCAACAAGAATTCTGCATTCAGTACAATTAAACCAACCAATATAAGCACAATCATCAAATAAATTCAACAGTTTAACACTAGAACCAATAAAATGATTAAAGAAAAACTCACTCGTTCATTCATCATTTCATTCAATTATACTGCATACAATCCAACCCAATACTAAAAATGGCATCATAATCATAATAATCTTAAATAGAGTATAACTCTAAAACCCATCAAGATTATCATCGAAAAAAATTAAAACAATTAAGTTAACACTAATTACTATTGAATACTCATTAACCCATTAATCTAAACCCCATAAAACCCAGAAAATTTGCTAATAAACCCAGTAATTACAACAACAAAAACCCAGAAAATTAACGAAAGATGGAAGATTACTGTTTAATAAAGATGGGAATTGCCGGCAGAAGAGATGCTAAACGCAGGAACAAAGACTCTGAAAGTAGAGAGGTGAAAGAGAAAATTGGTAATAAACCCAGTATTATTTTTTATTTTTTTGTGAAAGATTTAAGGTTGAAGTAAGGATTTAAGGGCCCATTAATGAGCTTTTTGGCCAAGTTTCTACCTGAAGCCCGCAAATTCGACTAGGATTGGTATAGAACAAACAACAAGATTTTGAGGTGGGGTTGCATATTTTTGGGCTTTTTTTTTTTTTTTTCCTGTCTCTTTTTATTTTTAATTGGAGAATTATTTTTTTTAGTATGGAAAAATCCAATCTTGTGATTGTTTCCACGTTTGGAGTGAAATCTTGGTGCATCCAGTGTTCTTTAAAAAAAGGCGGAATGAACATTTAGCTATTTAGTAAAGAACATATATTTGTTTTGTAAAGAACATATAACTATTTTATAAAGAATATCCAGTTTTATATGTTTTTTTGTAAATCTAAAGAACATTTGTAATATTAGTAAAGAACATGATAATATTAAAGACCATTATTCATATAGTAAATGTACATTTGGTATAAATGATCATGTATGTATATGAAAATGTACATTTTACTGTATTATAATGTACATTGTATTATATTCTAATGAACATATATGTTATAATGTTGGTTACTTGTTTCATGTACATTGTATTATTTGCATCATATAAGTATATGAAAAAAGAACATTTTACTTTATTTTAATGTACATTGTATTATTTGGATCTAAAACTTTTTCTAAATTTGTCTATTTGCTTGCTTTCTTCTTCAAAAATATATTAATCGGTTGATCTTCTTCAAGAATTTCATTTTATTTCTCATTGCAACAACAAAATTATATCAAAATCGCAATTAATTTTCAATCAAATCAAATATTACAATTTTCAATCAAATTTATAAAAAACAAACACTCAAACTCAAAATAAACAAGTATGAATGTCAAATAAACAAGTATAAATGTCGAATTTGGTCTTACCTTACGTTTTTATTTGTCATCTTGAACAATTTTGGGCTCAAAATTTCGAATTTCTTGAAATTTTGTTTGAGGTTTGAGGAATCTAAATGGATTTCAAGTTTTGTTTGGAGAGAGAAAGTGAACTTTTGGTAAAAAAAATTGAAATGATTTGTAATTAGTGTATGGTAAAAAAAATTAATTATAGTACTATTTATCTATTTCATTATACAAAATTTCTTTTAAAAAAAATATATATACAAAATTGTTGCATAAAAAACTGATGTACATTACAAATGAACACTATGTTCTTTTATGTATATGTCCATGTACATTATAAATGACTACTATATTCTTTTATATGACCATGTTCATTAGTATATATCTGAATGTTCATTCCGCCTTTTTATATTTTGGAGCGGATGCACCATGTGAATCGTGCATCCGCCTCCACGAACCAACTATTACGTTTGGAGTACTATGTTTGTTTAATTTGTAGGCGATTTTTTATAATACTTCCGTTTTATATTATTTGTAACGATTAGACATTTTTCATCTCTATTTTGTGTTAAATCGTTGCAAATAGTATAAAACGGAGGTAGTATTACGTTCATTTGTACAAGAATGTTTTGCTCGGTTTTTATTTTGCATACATATTTGAAATCATTAATATATTTACTTTAATTCGCATTTTATGTGATTATGTTAGTTGAAACTATGTGAAAGCTCATAAAGTTTCGCTCAAAAATCAATAGGGTATGTAAAGAGTATAAAGAAATTGTCCTTTCCTAGTCCTCTATGATATTTTTGTACTTGTTATTTGGTGTAGTATTTGAAACAATTTTTTATTTTATTTTTTTGTTAAATTGCATAATATTTGCAACTCGTACTTAGGACCTGTTCACATTTACTGAAATGAGCTGAACTGTACTGATTAAAGCTGAACTGAAGTGAAACTGAACTAATTGGAGCTGAAATGAATATTTTATGAGAGAGAGAAATTAAGAACTGAACTGATTAGAGCTGAACTGAACTGATTGGAGCTGAATTGAATTGAACTGAAATGAACTGATTGGAGCTGAACTGAACTGAATTGAACTGAATTTAAGTAAATGTGAACAGGCCCTTAAGCAATAGTTGATCTCTATCACTCTCCCTATCACATTTTGGATCACCGATTTTAATATTTCTCTCTCTCTTTTTTGGATCACATTTTTTTTCTTTGTGCATTCTCTCTTTTAATCTTTCTACATGTTGCACCTAGGCCTGTTCACAGATCAGATATCCCATCCGAAATGTGATTTCGGATCGGATATCCGAAGACTCGGATATCAAAAATTGATATCCAAATCCGATTTGAAAAATTCGGATATCCGATATTCGGATATCCAAAATTTTCGAATCGGATGCTTTGGATATCCATTATCCAATAGTAAGTAAAATTGTTATGATTACTTTCTAAATTTCACTAATTTTACCGTTTTTTTATCGCTAAGTTGTACAAAATATTTTAACAAAAATAGTAGTCCTTTTGCAATTAATATTATCATCAAATATATTAAGAATATTACAATAAGTTAATAATACAGGGTTAGTTTTATATGAACAATTTAAAAATTATATTATTTTAGGCTTTATATTTCGGATATCGGATATCCGAAATTCTGAAAATTAATATCCAAATCCGCATCCGATATCCGCTTTTTCGGATCGGATATCCAAAAATTCGGATCGGTTGCAGATCGGATTTTCGGATTCTCGGATAGTTTTGTACAGGCCTAGTTGCACCTATAAAATAGCTATAATGATATCTTATGATAATATTACTCGTAAATGATAAGTGGCTACTGAACCATAAAATAAATTTTATTATGTGTGAAAAGTTACTCATAAATTTGTTTATTCAATTAGGGCTATTTTCATTGTTTGTTCATGTGTTAAAGTTTGAAAATTTAGGGTTTCATCGTTTCCGAACGTATCTAGAAAGCCATATGAGTTTTTTCACCCAAACAACTACACATCCGTGGATCTCAAGCCGAATTAGTGCTAATTCACATATTGTATTGCTTCGGATGAAGTTTTTTATTAAGGCGATCATTGATCGAATCTGCGATGTAACTAGTTTTAATGTGATTTGTACTTGTGTTGGAATTTTAGATTTTCTATGAATTGTTTGTAAGTGCCGTTTGGAAAAAAAAGCTCATCAGATTCACATAATGATAAAAACATACTTATCTATATCTATACTCTATAGTCTATACTTTATTTATTTTTTAGTATTTAAAAACACAGACCATCATCCCTATAATGCCACATGTAAATTTCATTTTTCCTCAATGCCACATGTAGGGATGGAAATGGATCAAGTTCGGATCTGGTGGAGCTCCACCCGCATCCGTCACTCGCATCCATCTGTTTCACCGATCCATCCGTCACCCGCATAATACATCACCCGAAATCCATCCATCCATCATCCGTGGGTGAAAAGGATGGGCCGGGTGGTAAACAGGTGGGTGAATAAAAATTAATTTTTGATAAAAAAAAAATTGAGAAAACTATTTTGACCCTTTAATATTAAAATAATTATTGTAAAATAATTGTGATATGTCAAATATTAACATAAAAATAAAATATAATCGTATCATACAACTTCTAATATGCAAATATTATATATGTATAAGATATTTATATTTATTTTTTAAAAAATAAGAATATTTATTATACTAAATGGATGGATGGGTGACGGATGAGATTAACCACCACCCGAATCCGACCCGATCCATCACCCGATTCACCCGTCACCCGCCTCTCATCCATATAAACCGGGTTTTTCACCAGTTTAATAAAGCGGATGGACCGGGTGGTCGGATCATCCGTTGGGTATTTCCATCCTTAGCCACATGTCACTTCATTTAGTCTATCTTTTTTAATCCCCTTTCTCATATTAAAAAAATAATAAAAAAGTAATAAAATTTAATTCAATACATGAATGAATGTTGTTTTGTTCACTTTCCCCCAATTTAATTTCTTATAATTACATTTAATTTTCACCTCTTCTTCTCCTCTATAAATTATTCATTTTCCAATATACATAAATTAAAAAATAATTATTTATATTGTATAAGTATACTTATAAATAAATCGTGCATTGCACGTACCAGAACGCTAGTTATTATCTATATAGCAAGAACTAAAATCTAAGTAAAGGATAAAATTAGAACTTGAAGTAAAAATCAGCTATTTTTATAGATATTTTTAAAAAGTAGTATAATCTCATCTCAAAATTTAAAAGTTCAAAAACTTATTAAACCTTATTTAAAACTTATTTTAGCTGTATTTTGTACTTGAGTAACCTTTATCAGAACTTATTTTTCCTAAACTTAACTTATCTGAGCTTATATCTGAATTCATCTGATGAACTAATTAAATCTTGAATAAGTGAAAATTAAGTGACGATCAAAATAGACCCTTATCAATGTCTTTATTTTAACTACTACCTCCGTTACATATTATTTGCAACGATTAGACATTTTTCCTCTCTACTTTATGTCAAATTGTTACAAATAATATGTAACGGAGATAGTATTATTTTTCAAATAAGCAAAAGAATATTTGCAAACGCATAGTTTAGTCTCCATCATTTTCGATCTCTATTCATTTTTAAGATGTGCCGTTCAATTTGTTGTACATAGTTTATACAAACCTTTAACTTATGAGCTAAGTAATCATCACCAATAATCATAATATATTACTCATCATTAATATTGAGTATTTTTGATAAATAGTTTTGCTAAACTAGCCATTTCAGTGATTAAAATATCCCGATTTGTAATTTCAAAAAAAGGGTTAGTCCAAAAATTCCAAGTCGGCACTAGATTGTTTCATGCTAAACAAGTCATACAATTTGCTACATGGAGCCCACAAATTGAAGGCAATTGATTTTCTCCCTTTACATTCTGTCTATTTTCATGCACAAATGTTCAAGAAGACACCACAAACATTGATTTATCATCTATCACTATCCTTATTTGAGTAGTGCTTATTATTACTTTCTTTTTATTGCATTGATTTTTGCCAAAAGTAAGCCCTTCTACGCAACATTTGTTTTTTATGTTATGGTAGTTTTGCTCTACTTATTATTAGAAGTGTTACAATTAAAATGCTAGATGATCGTATGTAGGCACATTAACTTTTAAGTGATAACAAACAAGACTTGATTTGTCATAAAATTTGAATTTAATTAATAGCTAGCTTAGCGTTATGGAAATGTATAGACATCTTATAACAAATTTAATCATCTTTTACGGAGACACGGAGTACTATTTGTGCAAAGGTAGTGGTTAGACCTAATAAAATTAACTTGCATGTGAATCCCACTCGTGCATATCTTCTAACCCAATTCATATTACATTTGAAATTATGTGGTATTCGAGTCAAAAATTAATATAATTAATATTATTGGTTATTTTAATGCTATTATTAGGTAAACAATATTTTTTTAATTTCTGACAATTAAGAA